ATACAAAGTCTGAAGAAATAACAATACAGTGTTTCTGAATAAAAGGGAAAATGAAACAGGAAATAAGGATAGAGGCCAGAGCCTGCGGACGCGTGCAGGACTACGTCAGGCCTCTTGATGAACAAGAATCAGCAATTCCATTGCGGTCCGGAGTCTACAACACTAGGGTCTGCACAAAAGAGTGCAGAATGTAGTATCAACACAACCAACCCCATATACTGGTAAGTGCCGAGCCTAACCTCGGCGAAGTAGTGACGAGGCTAGGGCCAGACTACCAAATAAACCTGTGCAGTTATATAATATACAACGGAAAGTAAAACAAGGATAAGCAAGTAAAGATGGGAGGGGGAAACATGCTGCGGGGGTATACCAGTATTAACAGTAAATCCATAGTAACAGGCTAAGGGCAGCTTAAAATTCACAGCAAAACAAAAGAAAGCTAATATCCAAACTAAACACACTTGTACCAATAATTGTTGCAGCGCGCAACCCGATCCCAATATATAACAACATTGTTGCAGCGTGTAACCTGATCCACATCATTTATCATTGTTGCGGCGTGCAACCCGATCCATATACATCGTTGTTGCGGCGTGCAACCCGATCCATATATAATATTATTGCGGCGTACAACCCGATCCACATATAATATTATTGCGACGTGCAACCCGATCCATATATAATATTGCTGCGGCGTGCAACCCGATCCATATATAATATTGTTGCGGCGTGCAACCCGATCCACATATAATATTGTTGCGGCGTGCAACCCGATCCATATATATTATTATTGCGGNTAACAAGAGTCCCGACAAGGGATCAATAAAGTCTACGCTATCCCAGCAAGGGATACGATAGCATAAGTAATTACGTCCTGGCAAGGGAGAAACAGCTATAACCAAACTTGTTACAACATCTAACTGCCTCAGCTATAACCAAACTTGTTACAACACCTAACTACCTCAACTATAACCAAACTTGTTACAACACCTAACTACCTCAGCTATAACCAAACTCGGTACAACATCTAACTACCTCAGCTATAACCAAACTTGTTACAACACCTAACTGCCTCAGCTATGACCATAATCCTCACCCATACAAAGAATCATCAACCTAAGCATCTGTAATATCAATTAAGAACACAATGCAAGGGAATCACAACTCAACAATAGCCCGGCGAGGGGGCAACATAATGATCTATTCTCTTTCTCACTTTTACTTTATAATTCACTTCACAACTTGAACCAATGCTCTAGAGTTTATATTATCACTTATACTTTCACAATTCGTTATACAACTGGAGCCAACGCTCTTCAATGTTCATAAGTCATAATTCTTTCCACAACTTTACACAACAAATAGAAATCTTCACCAAGGCATGTATAATACAACGAAATCATAAAAATCACAATATAAGACTCACGGTCATGCTAGACACTAACGTATAGATACTCGTCACCATGTATATACGTCGTACTCAACAAGAAACAAATAGCAAATACTACACAACTCCTAATCCCTCAAGCTAAGGTTAGACCGAACACTTACCTTGAACTTTCACGGCCAACTCAAGCCTCAAACACCGCCTTTCCTTTCGAATTCAGATCTAAATCAATTGTATCTATACATAATTGACTTCATAACATCAACAAACGCTAAACAATCCAATTCCAATGCTTAATTATAGCTTTCTAATCATTCTTCCCCAAAAAGTCAAAAATTAACCCCGGCCCCGCTTGGTCAAAATGCGAGGTTCAGACCAAAACCTGATCACCCATTCACCCACTAGCCCGAATATATAATTTGTTTCCAAATCCGACCCCAAAACGAGGTCAAATTCCCAAATAATCAAAAAGCCCTAACTCTACACAAATCCCTAATTTTCTACCCTTAATCACATGTTTTAGGCCTAGAAATCTAGTGAGTGTTGATAAAAATGGAAGAAAATAAGTCAAAGATTACTTACCCAAGAGGTTATGGTGAAGAAGTTCTTCAAAAATCGCCCAAGAAGTGTGGAGAAGATGAAGTTTGTGAAAAATAATGAAAATCTCGTAATGTGTTCTGTTTTTGGAACTTAAAAATAACTGAGCGAAATTACTCTTCGCGTTCGCATCAGGTCTATCGCGTTCGCAATGGGTTAGGCCTGCTAGGCTTTCGCGCTCGCAGAAGACGGTTCGCATTCGCGAAGAAATGACCCCTCGAGCCTTCGCGTTCGCGTCCATGTGGTCGCGTTCGCGTAGGTTTAATGCCCCACCCCCTGCCCAGGCTCAATTAGCCTTCGCGTTCGCGTTACCAGGCCCGCGTTCGCAAAGGGAAGACTCCCCAACGCCTCGCGGTCGCGACCTGCATTACGCGTTCACGTAGAAGGAATTTTCTTCAACATAATTAACACATCGCGTTCGCGAGGGTCCTCCCGCGAACGCGAAGAAGGAAATATCAACATACCAACAGCTGAAAACCTGCAATTTTTAAGAGTTTAAAACCTTCCGAAACACATCTGAAACTCACCCAAGCCTTCGGGGCTCCAAACCAAACATACGTACTAACTCGAAAACACCATATGAACTTATCCGTGCGATCAAAGCGCCAAATTAACATCATTAACATCGAATTAAACCCCAAAATCAATGAATTATTTCAAACTTCTTAAAACATCAAATTTTGCAATTTAGGTCCGAATCACGTTAAATGACATCCGTTTCTTACCAAACTTCACAGAGTTATCTTAAATCACATATAAGACTTGTACCGAGCGCCGGAACCAAAATACGGGCCCGATACCAACATGTTCTAATCAAAGTTCATTTCAAATTCCTTTAAATAATTTCAGAAAATAATTTTCTTTAAAAATTCATTTCTCGGGTTTGGGACCTCGTAATTTGATTCCGGGCATACGCCCAAGTCCCATATTTTCCTACGGATCCTCCGGGACCGTCATATCACGGGTCCGGGTCCGTTTACCCAAAACGTTGACCGAAGTCAAATTAACTCATTCTATAGTCAAAACTTATCATTTTTCATAGATTTTTCATATTTAGGCTTTCCGGCTACGCGTCCGGACTGCGCACGCAAATTGAGGTGACGCTAAATAAGGTTTTCAAAGCCTCGGAACACAGAATTCAATTTAAAAGCAAGTGGGTCTATCACAAGGTTCTCTCTTGATATCGCTGCTTCTCCTCTGACCGACCTTGAACTTAAATTAGTATGCTGACCGACCAGTTAAAGTTGAGCAACTATTTTCACAAGAAATACCCACGAATCACGTACGATGCAGAAAATAAAACAAATTGCTTCTGTATAGACCAATGCAGGGACACTCAGATGCAGACTATAGGCTTAGACGGATAGAGACTCATTTTTCATTTTCCTTAGTCCTTTCTTATGCATTCTTTCCAATGGTCCTCCTCTCCACTCTAGGAATTTATCTGCGAATTTGTGTGTTATTTTCTCTTATCCAAAATCAACTTCCTATTTTAAAAGTATACAAACAATCTGTTTACCGTCTAAATTTTAAACTCTGATATTGTATTCTCGTATCAATTAACTTTCAACTAGTTTTCTGCTATTAATTATTATGTACACTATAATTCAAATAATTCTTTTCGTCCAAAAAAGAATAATGGATTTCTACCACGATGATACATTTGTTTTTCTGAATTCGTACTTTAGTTTCGTCAGTTTTAATTATGACTTGCATACTCCAATGATTAGATCAAATCCTCGTTTACAGAAAAAATATATTTTTAAAATTTATTATTGTGCGCCGCCTAATATTTCAAATATTAGGTAGTTTGTTGTATATAATTGGGTAGGAATAATATTTTGGCCGTGCACTTGATGCGGTTACTTTTCTAGATGCCATCCTATACAATTTATCTACAATATATCTATAACGTTCACACATTATTTTTACCCAGTTAAATACAACTACAATAACATACAATTTAAATATAAATTTTATACAATATGTCATTTGTATATTTTGTATCTGATTTATATATAGTAAAAACAATTTCATACAACTAATTATATATTATATAACTTATCTACAACTTATCTACAATTTTCATACATTATTTCTACTTGGCTATATATAACTACAATATCATACAACTTAAATATAATTTTTATACAATATTGTTCAACTTTCATACAATAGTTATATATATATATATAATGTATATATACTACAATTTCATAAATATAATGTATATCATATCATATCTTCTTCTTCTTCGTCGAGTTTCAATCTGAAATTGAGCCAAAATCAAGTCTAATCTTCACCAAAACCCCTCAAAATTGAGATATAAACTCCAAACCATATTCCCAATTGTTTGCAACAACACCCAATTCAAATAAATAATGGTTTTTGAAAACCCAAATATGGTGGAATTGCTACTCTCTTTTCCTTTGCTTTACATTACTGAAATTAGGAATTGAGAGATGGAGAGAGACGCAGAGAGAATTTCCAATTCTTTACAACAACACCCAATTCAAATAAATAATATTTTTTGAAAATCCAACTTTAAATTCAAAGCTTCAAAGCTTTTTAATGGTTGTCAATGATGGAATCGTGAGTGAGTGCAAGATACGTGGGTGGGGAGATGTGGAGAGAGAAACAACTTGGGGGAGTGGAAGATACGTTAAAGTTATTTTAGGACACTAATTATTCCTTTAAAATGTACATAAATGGTAATTAAATATATAAAATGTAATTATAGTAAAATTTGAGTAGGGAAGGTAATATAATTTCATATAGTGTATATGAAGATAAAAATTCCTTAACTTAAATAGTGGTCCGTCCAAAAATATTTGTCGTATGTATACATGTTATAACTTAGACATAATTAGTGCGCAATATATGAATATCGGCTAAGAGGTGTAAATATTTTTGATCAAGAGGTCAAATGTGTAACTTAGAAAAAAAAAAAGCAACTCATAAGCTAAACTAGGAGCTCAAAGGTTTTTGCATTGCTACATATATATGAGAACTGCAACTGTAACTGTAACTGTAACTGTAACTGTAACATCCATTCTTGTGTCTCATTGCTTTAATGTCTTTTTTCTTACATTCTCCGACTTCCGATTAACGCCGTTGTAGAATTTCCGGCAATGGGGATTTCCTTTAAGGTTTCCAAAACCGGTACGAGGTTTCGACCCAAACCAATCCGCTCGGAGTCGGAAACCTCTACCACCACCGCCGGCAAAGACAATGCGGTCGCCGTCGAAGTTACCGATACCAAAGGAAGGACATATTCGCTTGTCCCACAAACGGAATTCAATTCCTCATCTGCTGCAAAGATCACGGTTTGGATGTCTAACATTGTTCATATTCGAGCCTTTAAGACGATTCTGATTTAGTAGTTACGTTTGTTTTGTTCTGTGTTTTTTTTCCTTCTGTTTGTGGGAATATTGAACCTTGAAGGCTATTACTACATATGCTGTTAAGAGACTAGTGCAGTTAATTTTTTTGATAAGGTCAATTAATTGGGAGTTGTATATATAACTTTAATTAATTGCGTTTATTAATCGGATAAAGTATGAACACTAGTTGATTTCTTCCTATCTGCTTAAGCTTTGGTGTACAGAGTTACCCGGTACACCACTATCATTAAAGTAGTCTTAATGTTTTTCTTCCTCGGACACTTGTATCCATTTCATGGTCAGCTCTGGTCTTTGTTGCTCAGTAAGTCTGACTGAATGCAGTAACTTGCATTTTGGGTAGAACAACTACTTTATGAAGTACAGAGTCTGAAAGGTGGGATTTTGAATATCTTCACTTGGAGATTGTTGGTCGTATGATTTATTTATTAGTAATATTTTTGGGTGTGGATTCAACCCAGTGGTAGAGCCATAGCCAATAAAGGGTTTAATTGAATCCCCTTCCTTGGAAAATCATACTGTTAAATGGGGCAAAAATGATTCTTTTCATATACATACGTATAAAATTTTGATTCCTTCACATAAGGAAAATATTTATTGTAGTGACAAGGTAGTTCAAAAATTGCTTTAGGTGCCGGGCTTAAAATTTTTGAAAAATTGGCTTTGTTTTGATTAGTTTACTCTTCAAATTTGTTTTTTCACTGATAAAATCCTCTTGTTTCGTCATAGGGTGCAAGTGATCATGGGAGTGACAATGTTGCTAACCTCTCTGGTAAGTTAGAGTTTTGTGAAGGACTTCATATATCGGTTTCCTGGTTCTTTCTCTAAGTTAATTTTTACATCTTCTGTTTCTTTATTTCAAGAGTTAGCATTGACTATTTTACCTTACATTCTGCAGACAAAGAAGTTTCCTTCACATTAAGCCTTTTCTTGGATGGATATTCTATTCGGAGACCCTCAGAGGTCTGTTATTCATCTGGTCCAATCTAACGATTCTGAGGTATTAGGACTGAAGAAAGTTCTTTTCCTTTTATAATTGCAGAATGAATCTGGGCATCAAACTTCTGAAATTGTTCCAAAATTCTTAGTACATCCATATGATAGTGCATCTGAAACTCTCTTCTCAGTAAGTGTACTGTCCTTTTTGGTTTTTGTATTCTTTCCTTTTCTGTCTGTCTGTCTCTTATTTCTGAGTGTGTGGATCATCTGTTGATCTACACTGTATTTCCTAACTTGAGCGGTGGAGCTTGCGAAATTCTTTTTTATCCTTCAGCTAATGCTTTTAACTTTTGAGCTCTCATTTTAGAGTATTGTGTCTTTATGACAGTTTATGAAACCTGAGATAGAAATCTAATGCTCATTTGCAAGTTAATATTATATCTATGTCTATGTAGTTTTTAAGGGCAAAGACTTATATTGTTTTTCCTTTTTTCTCTAAACTTTTTCTTTGTACATTGTGCACTTGGAGGCAATTGAGTCTGGCCGACTGCCTGGTGATATTTTGGAGGATATACCATGCAAATATGTCGATGGGACCCTAGTATGTGAGGTGAGGTTTATTATAGACGTGTTTCTTCAATTATAAGTTCTACAACATTAGAGTATTGTGGGTTCTACTCCCTTCAAATTGCATTCATCATCAGGCAAGTAGAGAGCTCCAGTTGTTTTTTCTTATATTATCAGATGCTATTCTATGTTGCTCGGACTCTCCGAAAATGTGGCAGGATACGTGTCGGATCCTCCAAAAGTAGTGCATTTTTGAAGGATCCGACACGGGTGCGGCTACATTTTGGAGAGTCCGCGCAACATAGATGGTATTAACCAGCTTACTCATAAGAGCATAACACATTAAATTATCATTCCAGAGCTTGCATAATTGCTTTTCTGCTGGATGGTTCAGTCAGTCGGCGTTTCTCATAGAATGAATGTTACCATTTCTTCACCTATTCGTGATGACAATGTAGCTTTCAGGTTGCCTTTTATTTCTTATTAAGGGATTTGACTACTACTGCAGGTGCGGGATTATCGGAAGTGCTTCTCTAAAGCTGAACAAAGTGTGCGTTCTGCTACTGGTTCTCCTTTTATTAGTAGATTATGCCTCAAATTGTCGCTTGAAAATGTGGTGAAGGATATTCCGCTGATTTCAGACCATGCTTGGACATATGGTGATCTAATGGTTAGTAAGATAAATCCCTCTTAGTAGCAACCAAATGTTTTGTGTTCTTAGCATTCTTTTATTTTCAATGTACGAAGTTGAATCACGGATATTAAGAGCTGTGGAACCACAACTTTGCCTAGACCCCACCCCGAAGTTAGACAGGCTTTGGAACAACCCAGTTTCCTCTAAGGTGATGAGTTAGTAGTTTTATTTTCCATCTTCCTCTGGGAAAATTCATTCTTTTATTTAAGCTGGTGCTGTATCATATTTGCAGTTAAGTTTGGGTCTAGGCAATATATTCAGGAAAAGACTAAGGGAGACTCCAGAAGTTACTGTCACATCTAATAGTAGGATCCATGGGAAAAAATGTTTGTATAGATAGAGTGACGGAAAACTCAAAGTCAGGAGATGTAGGACCTCTTGTGCAGCAGCCTCTTCATGACAATCTGAATGCACAGGATAATGTACCAACAGATTTGTTGACATTGAAACGTGACAGTTTTGTGTCCAAGGCCTCTGTTCCAGCGTCACCTTTGGTATCTCACCTGTCAAAATATCAAATGGGAGTTCAGAGTCCTAGAATTATGCAGGATCATAAGCCAGATATTGTTCTGAATGCATCAGTATCTTCTCCTGCTGCACCAGATAGGATGCTGTCATACACAAATGCTATGACTTCCCGTGCTTCTATACATGGCAAGAGAGAGACTCAGGATGGACAAGAATCTTCCCTGCCCAACTCAAATAAGAGAAGAGTTAGGCAATTGGTTGCTGATGTTAATTATCAGCAATATGTAGGCACACAGGTAGATGGCCTTCACGCTCCAGATTATCATTGGAAGAATGCTTTATTACTGCCGCAGTCAGTTTCCAGGGCTATTCCTTATGCTAACACCATGCAAAACTACTGTCAACAGACTTTCCAAGGCGGCTTGAACCAAGAAGCTAGGACAATGCCATTTGCGCCAGGACAGCAAGGAATTAGATATAATGTAAAGAAACAGCCAGCTGAAATAGAGAGAATGGACCAATTAGAGCCTCGATGGACTAAGAATGAGAGGCAGGTGGGGGAATCAGCTATGAACCTTACGGATTTCCACCAGGCGCGATTACATCAAATACTTCCCCAGCAGTTAACGCAATTTGGTTTCCCACAGACAACCTGGAATGGTCTTGGTCAACCTCTTGAGACCAATCCCTGGAAAGCATACTCACTTCAAAAGAGGAAAATAGTGCAAAGTCCTTGTGCTTCTGCTGGAGGTTTGCGTGGATCTCCTTTATCATCTATATCTGGAGGTATTTCTGGTGGTCCAGTAGGACCTCAGTATGGTGCAGCTGTGGTAAATGGACTTACGCAATTGATGAAGGAGAAGCCAGCAGCCACATCTGTTCCTTCTGCTGGTGTCTTAACATTTATGACTTCCATTGCTAATGGTTCCATGCAGCAGCAACACCTGCCTCAAGTTGCTGCAAAGCGGAGATCCAATTCTGTTCCTAAGGCCCCTGTAATGACGGGAGCTGGTTCTCCTGCCAGTGCCAGTAACATGGGTTTTCCATTCTATGCAAGTAGTGCTTTTGTGGGAACTCCACCTCTGGCTGACCAAATCATGCTTGAAAGGTTCTCCAAGATTAAAATGGTGACAACGAGGTACATTGCTTACTCGAATTTTTCCCAAATAAACCAGATATTCTTTTGAATCACCACAATTATATCATGTCTAAAAGGGAGCTTTTGCCTTTTAGGTTGTGTCTATCAGCCAGAAAACTGTAGATACATGTGTTTCCTTTTGTAATTAGCTCAATTAAAATAATCTTTCTTGAATGTATTTCAATCCTTGTAAAGAACTTGACTTAGTACTCGTGGTCTGGAAGTGCCACCTAAGTTGCTCGGACACGGGTGAATATCTAGAGGTCGGATCCTTTGAGACATAAATATTAAGATTCGGGGATACGGATCCTAGTACAGATACGGGTGCGGAGATCCGGCTAAAAATAATTCAAAAAAATAAAAATATAAAAATTATCACTAAATTATGAGAAATTTTGCAGAAAACTTACGTATAGCTTGTAAAGTATGGATTTCTTCTTTATAGATAAATAAAGAAGGGATTGATTTTCCAGTAAGGTATGCTATTTTCTTCAAATTTACCCTAGTTTTAGTTCTGATTTCTAGAATCAAATTGTATCTTGTCTCGAATTTTTGCGTCCGTTGGGGTGAAAGTACCCAAAATTGTTTGACCAGATCCGATACAAATCCCATACCCACACCCATACTAATGTCGTGTCGACACAGGTGCGGCACCTAAAATGCCATGTCAGAACAACTTAAGGTGCCACAGATAAAACAATAGAAACAGACTGCTTGTAGGAGAAACTGAAGGATAGCATCATAACGGGAGCATGCTCGCTATTTCAATACTGATTTTCAGTAGATTCTCTGTGGAACCTTAGAAGATGAGATATATGAGATCTTATGCTTACAAGATGCCAAACAAAGATGTCGTTCTTTTATTCAACACTTATGTAATTAGTTTTTCTTTGTTGAGGTCTACTAGTTCATGTCACCCTTCCTAGAAGGTGGATATAAACTTTAGATGCTTCATGCTCATTAGGTGTATTATTTGTTTGTTAATGGTAACAGTTCACAGTTTATTACCAAAAAAGAAAAATGCCAAAACAAGCAAAGTTTTCTGTAGTAAAAGGAAAAAGTTCTCAGTTGCTTTCGCATTGTTCCCATTTTTGAGCTACAGCTGGAGGAGAAGTATGAGACTGGATTAATTTTCATAAAAAAAAAGTATGAGACTGGATTAAGGAAAGATTGAAGAATCCCTTGTCCATTTTCCCCGCAGATTTACTGAAAAATATAATAGTACCAAGTAATCTTGAATTCTAAAACTTGATAAGCGCATAAACATGAGCAGAAGCTTATGAAATAAAAATGATTCATAATGTGAACAAATATAACAAAAAACTTGCTTGTTATCCTTTGGGGTATAATTGTTACTATTTTCAACTTCATTTGCACATTTAACATGGCAATTGTGGTGTAATTGCATCATGATGGAGCAAATTATAAAGCAAGTCAAAACAAAGGGGGTTGGGAGTACTATACTTTTTCTTAAATTATGAAGGACCTCCCTTGCTTTAAAAAGTCAATATACGTGGTCTTTATTTCAGTTGAACTTGTAGTTTCTTATTTATCAACTTACTTTCTTATACTATGTTCTTTTCAACCATTGTTCCTAGAGCAAGATAATTTAGTTTGTTGATGATATTCAATGGCTAACATCAAGGGCCTGAGAGTTTCAGGTTTCAACTTAATCGCAAAAAGAATAAGGTTGACGAGTACTCCAGAAGGAAACAAAATGTATATCCTGCTCAACAGCTGCTGCTTCATCTTTCCAATAATTCAAACAATGAAAATTTCAAAGATGAAATCTGCAGAATGGCACTGTCAAAGTCACTTGTTGGGGGAAGCATGAATATTTGCAAAAAAAGAGCCTTGACAATTCTGCAAACAGAGGAAGTACTTCAAGGTCTGTCTGCACTGCACTCCCCATCTAGATCAAGATATAGCCTAACTGATCTTTTTGGCTAACTTGACGTTATTCCCTAGAAATGGTTTCTCTTTTGTTCCTAAGGAACGAACTAGAATGATCATGTCAGAAAAGCCAAATGATGGAACTGTTGCAATGCATATCGGAGAAATGGAAGATGCTGAATACTTGACTGCTGAGGATTACCTCCCAACACTGCCAAATGCTGTGAGTTCTGAACACACACTGTTTATTATGGCTCATGCAATGCATGTGCATGCCTCTTCTTGCAGTGTCCACTACTGTGGATTTAATCAAGCTTGACAAGCTTCTATTCTGAAGCCAACCATTTAGAGCTGAATCCTCGATCAAAAAACCTCTTGTGGAACTCCCAATACAGAAGGGAAAAAAAGGAAAATGACATGAACAAATCATCTTTTGGGTTGGCGGGGGATGGNAATTTATTTGGTCCTCTTTTTTTGAGATGGCAACATTTGTATAAATAAAAAGGCACTAAGGCAGTGCAAAGCCACATGTACAGGGAATAATAGATCAATCTTGATCTATCTTAACTACAAAATGCCTAACATGTCTACCAAAGATTCTGTATCCTCTACAAAATTTTCTTTCCACAAAAAATGAAACAGAAGAATACAGTTCATCTTGACATCCTGAATGGAGTTGTATTTGTCTTCAAATACTCTTTAGTTTCTTTCCTTCCATACTGTCCACCATATGCCTGCAGGTATCAATCTCCAGCATGTCTTTTGTCTCACTGAGTCTCCATTGTTGTTCCAAGATTTTAGTAACTCTGCAGTAGTAGCTGGCATAGACCATCTTAGCCCAACAATGTTAAGGAACAACTGCCTTAGTTGACTAGTAATAGGGCAGTGAAGGAATAAGTGGCTGTTTGTTTCCAATTCTCTGCCACATAAGAGGCATCTACAACAAAGTTGGAATGATGGAATCCCCTCCTTTGCAGGTTTTCTTGAGTTAAGCATGCTTCTCTTGCTACCAACCATGTGAAGCAAATCACCTTAGAAGGAGCTTTAACTTTCCAGGTACTCTTCCATGGCCAACCATCTATGTGATGGTCATTGTTTGACACCATAAGATAAGCTGATTTGAGAGTATAAATCCCATTCTTGCCACTGTTCCAGATAAGAGAATCTTCATGATCTTTAAACCTTGGAAAGCTTCCAAAGGAGTAAAAAACTCAGCAATTCTCCCAAGCTCCCAATCATTCAGACCTCTTCTATAGGATGTTCCAACCATGTTGTCCCCAATCTGCTTCCATTCTAAGATCAGGCGCTGTAGCAATGCAGTAAAATTCAGGGAACAGTTCGTTTAGTGGACCATGTCCTAGCCAATTATCATTCCCAAACAATGGCTTCCTTCCATTTCCACCCTTTATGCTAGTGTTGCACAACATAGAATTCCAGAACTTCCTGATAGTTTTCCAAGCTCCCACCCCATAAGGAGCAGGTCTTGTGCCCACTGATCCAACTGGTCATACTTCTCATATATGAGATTCCTCCATAAAGCATTAGTCTCTAGATGATACCTCCACAACCACTTCATGAGCAGACTCTGATTGTGTGCCTTTAATTTCCTGATACCTAGACCCCCTTGCCTTTTACTGGTAATGAGTGAGTCCCAGTAAACTACATGAAAACTAAGTGAATGGCTCTCTTGTCTCTATTACCCCGCCAGATAAAATTCCTTCTTGCTGCATCTATTATTTTTCTTACCTTAACTATAACAACAACAAACCCAATGAGATCCCACAAGTGGGGTCTGGGGAGAGTAGAGAGCTTGTTTTCGGTAGACCCTCGGCTCAAAAACAGTGAAAAAGAAGCAATAAACAGATAATAGCAACAACAGGTAATAGGCAACGGAAGCAAACAGTAAAGTGTGTAATAACAAAGATCTAGGAATACGAAAAATGCAAGAATGGTGCCAATACTACAGGTGAGAGTGAGATGCCGTGTAATAACACGAAACTAGGAATAGGAAAAAGTAAGAGTAGTGCGTAAGACATGGAGAAACTCTTGACTGCATGTCAAGCCACAACCTTAATTCTCGACCTTCACACCTTCTTATCGAGGTCATGTCCTCGGTAAGCTGAAGTAATTTTCTTACCTTAATAGAAAATAAAGACATGACATATGTTGGAAGTGCATCCAAAATAGAATTCACTGAAACCACTCTACCTTCCAGAGAAAAATATTGGCTCTTCCAAGTTGCAAGTCTCTTTTCACATTTTTCTACTACACCATCCCGTATTCCTTGGGAAAATGTATTTGGTCCTCTTTCAAGCTCCTCTTTCTAATATTGCTTCGAAGCTATTTAAGAAAAGATTGTACATGTAGCACCTAAAGGTGTGGCTTAGTAGTCAATAAAGTGGGTTGAGAGCCATGAGGTCTCAGGTTCAAATCCCAACAGAGGCAAAAACACTAGGTGATTTCTTCCCATCTTGACCAAACCTTGGTGAATAGAGTTACCCGGTACCTCTACTAACGGAAGGTAGCAGATACTCCGTGGAATTAGTGAAGGTGCGTGCAAACTGGCCCGAACATCACGGTTATAAAAAAAGATTGTACATGTGGCTCTTATAGCAGTTCAAGCTATCTTTGTTTAGTAGTTCAATTGATCAGAAGAATCAGCATGCTAATTAATTTTAAGTGGAATTTTGGTGTATAAAATAAGAATATCTCAGATTCCAAATTTGCCGTGGGATTCACTTATCAAACCCTTATGCTAGGGTAAACCAATATTTTTGGAGCATAGCTTTCTGATATAGATTTTCCATGATGATGTTAACTTCAGATGGATTCTGAGGTTGTCATATTGAGATGCTCAATGGATTCAAATTGGTTGGTGATGTTTGTAAGCTGTATCTGAAAGAAGGAGAATTGGAGGATAGCTCATGGTAGAAATTATTAAAGTCATCTTATATGTTTTTGATTGAACATTTAAAAAGCTGTGCAAATAGAATGAATCTCCAGTGTTGTGAAGAGCATGAAGCGAGGAAAAGCGACAACCCCCATTTCACGAGAAGCGAGACGCGAAGCGCTCACTTTTTTTAAGTGAAGTGGAATTAAAAAAAAATTAAAATAAATACTGCATAGAAAACACATGTAATTGTAAGCAAATGTTCAATACTTCAATTAAAAAACTAAAGAGTAGCATCAATTAAAGCACAAAATGAGCATCCTATTCTTCTACAAGATTATCAAATTCTTGTATTCCACTATCATTATTATATTGCTCGTCATCTTCTTCAACTTCTTCTTCTTAATCAACTAGGGACAAAGTAGCTGTCTCTTTTCCCTTCCTCTGTGAACTTGAAGTTGAGGTACTCCCCCTCAAACCATAAATTCTCTCCCCAATTCCACGCGCCTCCGCAACGTCACCCCAAGTCAAATCAGAAGTATCCTCAAATACTTCTTCATCTGCATGATCTTCCGGGACTCCAGTTAGCCATTCATTAGCTTCATCGATGTTGTCCAAACTAATTGGATCAATTACATTGCCAGCGTTGTAACGACGCCTCAATGTTCTATTGTACTTAATGAAGACTAGATCATTGAGACACTTCAAGGTTAGTTTGTTCCTCTTTTTGGTATGAATCTGCAAATAATAAGTAATTAGTAAGATTAGGACAATTGAGATATAATTTAATTATCCCAATATACTAAATCTTTCTTCTTAGTTCTTACATGCTCGAACACGCTCCAATTCCTTTCACACCCGGATGAGCTACATGTTAGACTTAGAACCTTGATGGCAAACTTTTGTAAATCTGGAGTGGAATGACCATATTGCTTCCACCATTCAACTGTAGAAGTAGAACAAATTTTCAAAACATAATATTGATAAAGAAATAACTTATTATTAACTATAAAACAACATATAAGCACTCGCTCACCTGGTGACTTCGTCTTTCTTTATCTAATCGCCATGTTTTTTTCCAAAAAGTTGCTCAGCTTTCCTATAAATACTAAATTGCTCTGTTATTTTATCTTGCACGGATTCTTCATGTATCAACTTCTGAATACATTCATAGTATCCATTCCACAAAGGTTCATCTCCTAGAATCCTCTCTTCATTGTGATAAAACAGTTCCGGGTTCAAAACAAGTCCAGCTGCATGCAAAGGGCTATGAAGCTTATTATCCCACCTTTTATCTATGATCTCAAAGACTCTTTTGAATTTTCTTTGATCACTAAAAGAGGCTTGAATAGCCTCATTTGCCCTATCAATTGCTTCGTACTGGTAGCCCATTGGTGACCTTTGCTCCCCATCCACCAAACGAAGCACTTTAACTAAAGGAACACCAATCTTCAATGCATGAACCACATTGTTCCAGAATGAAGGAGAAAGTATAATATCTACAGATTCTCTCCCTCGAGCTTCCCTTACATAGGCACTGCTAGTGTACTCATCTGAAACAAACAACTTCTTCAAATCGCTTTTGTGCTCATACATCATATGCAAAGTCAAGAAAGCAGTAGCAAATCTTGTCTTTGCAAGTTTCACCAAGCTTCTTTGTTTAATGAATCTCTTCATCATGTTCAATAACAAAGGCCTTTGAACAATATAGGAATGCACTCTAATTGCCTGATTAAAGACTGTACTGAAGGATCTTTCCTTGAAAATGTCACCGAATATCAAATTAATGGAATGTGCTGCACACGAAGTCCAATAGATATGCGGGTACCCAGCAGACATCAAATCACCAGCTTTAACATTTTCACTGGCGTTGTCCGTGACAACTTGAACAACATTTTCTGCTCCAATAGAGTCTATTGTACTCTTGAACAAGGAGTACATTTTGGTTGAATCAGTTGAAGAGTCGCTTGCATCAACAGACTCAAGAAACATGTTTCCCTTAGGAGAATTCACCAAGATATTGATGATCATTTTTCCATTTCTCGCCGTCCACTTATCCATCATAATGGAACAACCAAACTTGTTCCATTCTACTTTGTGCTCCTCCACGATTTTGTTCACCTCTGCCACATCTTTTTTTAGATATGACCCTCTAACTTCATAATAAGTTGGAGGCTTCATTCCTGGACCATATTGGCCTACGGCCTTAATAAAAGCAGCAAAAGTGTCAGTATAATTAACACAATTAAAAGGAAGACCTGCATCATACATCCACCGCGCAAACATTGTAACTGCACTATTCCTCAAAATCGCTTTGGCATCAACTTGAGGATTACCACTTTTTCCTCCCTTATCTCCAGATTTTTGTGGGAAGTAACAATTTATAGGACCTTTGGTCTTTCTAGTAGATCCACAACTAGAAGACATTGGTGGAAGCATCCTTCCCCGCTTTTGTGATTTTGGTGGAAGTGACGAAGCATCGTCACCTTCTTCTATTTCATCATCATCATCATCATCATCAAGATTATAAAGTTCTTGTTCATGAATCATTTGAGTCTTTAACTCTTTCTTTTTTTGAAGGTATGCTTTCAATTCTTCCTTCACATGCCCCGGAACTTTAGGACAAGATGCGACATTTGGATCACCACCGATTAGATGCGCTTTTTGATGGCAGATTCCTCCATTTGAAATCTTATCACAAAAAAGACTTCTAATGGCCATCTTGTTGGTCTCGCTAACTCTTGAAGAGTAAGCCCAAGCCGGGTCTTTCCTATCTTCTTTTGGCGCCATTAAAAGAACAACTACATAACACATACGAAAGGCAATAAGAACTAAAAATAAAAGATATAATAATTGGGCAAATATTTAGGGCAGAAACTGGAAAAATTGGGCAGAATTTTTCTGAAAAAAAATCCCCAGCATTTCGACGCTTTTTGGACGTTTAGAAAGAAAAAGAAGAAGAAGAAGAATGAAAATCAAAAGTGCAGAACATACCTGTTGAAAGTTGCTGTTGTACTGTTGAAGAAGAAGAAGAACAACCCTAGTTTGAAGAAGAGAAATCACTGATGTTGTTTGAAGTTAATGAAGAAGAGAGGAAGAAATCGTTGTTGTTGTGTTGAAGAACCCTAGTTTCTCGCTGCTGTTGAAGTCTCGAAGAAGTCCAGACTATTTAGAATACCAAGTTTTTAATAAAATAGGGCTTTGGGTATTTTAAACAGAGAAGCGTCTCTCGCTTCTTCTCGCTTCACCGCTTCTCGCTTTTTACAGAGAAGCGGTCTCTTTTTCGTACCAGAGCCGCTTTTAATGGCAGAAGCGATGAACTGTGCGCTCCGCTTCGCTTCTCGATGTAATAACCTGAATTATTTTTATATACTTATTAATTGTGAGACTAGAGAAATTAATTTTTTTATTTATAGCTATTGGGTCAAATATTAACCTAGGGAAAAAAATTATTATATATAATATATAAGGTAATGTATTAATTAAATGGCTAGCGGATTAATTACACATGACAAATTGAGAATTAAAAATAAATAACTTTAGATATTATTTAAAAGATTAATAGGTGAGATAAGCCCACCTATATTTTTATATCTCGTGTGAGAGTGTCTGGGTGTTAAATACATATATTAGGGCTTATACCTGAGAAGAAAAAGAATCAACGGAAGAAACTCCTTGGAATTGATGGCGGCTGAGTATAGCACTGTAAGTATACGATCAGGTATTAGAATTTCATTGAATACCTCTTTGCAGTAACTCCTTCCTTTGTTTTGAAAGAAGAATAAAGTGAACATGTGTTGTTGTAATGATTAAAAATTAATATTATGTGTGTAATGCTTATACAATGATTGGGTAATCATGAGATAATCTGATCCCTTTCTTTCTCATCTTTAACCTAGAACTAGAATACATAATAATCATAATGATTGGGTAATCATGAGATGTGAAATTGTACAATAAAACAATAGTCAACTTGGTTAGCACGAATAATCAATGTTCCGCAATTGTTAAGTTATATTTGAGACCACTGTCTCGACGTCCACTACTAAAAATACAACATTTGATATTGATTTGGGTACATAATCGGATTAATTGGATTGAGGGTTGACTTTGATTTGGATTTATTCTAAAATTATAGAAAGTATTTATCTAGACTAATTAGGACGTGTTATTCAACATATTGAATAGATTGAGGCCATAGGAGGACGTTTGTTTGGTGTTCTAGACGTTGCAAAGTTGGGGAACTTCTCGTTAGCGAGGTAAGTGAGACTTTAAGCTTTGATGCTTGCTTTTCCAAAAGTTTTGAAAATATGTTTTGTCTACCTGGTCCATGTATTGGGACAAGCGTGCGCTTGGTAGCATCGGTGGTCATTGACCAGCTGCAAATATATATTATTTTGTATAAAACTAAAGCATTTAATAAGTGATTTGTGATGTGGTGTAGCGTAGGCTCGTACTATTACGTTGGGGCGTTAGAAATTATTTCTTCGCTGCCGTAATATATTTGGGGCATTGGTATGCCGCCGCTATATATTTGGGGTGTTGTGTATGCCGCCATGATAGATTTGGGGCATTGTGTACGCCGCCCCTATATATTTGGGGCATGTGTATGCCGCCATAGTAGATTTGGGGCATTGTGTATGCTGTCGGGGACTCGTTGGGGTGTTTGGTTAATTTCCTACACTGCCGTTAATGACAAGTCCTTAGTATAGATTGTGTTGAGATATGTATAATATTGCTGTTGAATAATTGTTTGGACCTTATAGAGTAATTATATGATAAAAGAATTTCTGTGCATATTATTTGCGTGCTTGTATTTTCTAACACTTGTTCCAGAGGTATTCAGAGTGGCGGGTCGAGGATCTTACTGGTTATATTTACGTATAACTCACTCTTACCTGCATGTCTATGCAGATACTAGTGTGAAGACGGAGCTAGTAGCCGACGAGTTCGCTAGAGTTGATTCAGTTATTGAGGTGAGCCGCCGCATTGTTCGTGGAGGCAGCCCAAAGAGTCTTTATCATTTATTTATATGAGGTCTTTTGTAATTCTCTTAGATGCTCCATGGTCTAGTGTGGGATTTGGGCTAGAGTTTTGATCTAATATTTTGAGATATTAATTGTTCGTAATAGTTATTAGATTATTTGGATACTCATTTAATTAATCAAATGCTGCAAATTAATGGCTAAGGTAAGAAAGTATGGTTCGCCCGGCAGATGGTGTTAGCTGGGTACCAGTCACGTCTAGGGGGTAGTTTGGGACGTGACAAAGTTGGTATCAGAGCGTAGGCTTTAAGTCCCGAGTCATGGAGCAGTGTTTGGTAGAGTCTTATTCATGGGTATGTAGGCGCCCATACTTATGATCTTGAGGCTACTAAGCATTTAGGATGTTTTCCCTTTTTTCATTCCTCATTCGTGCATTAAGATGGATCGAGTTTATTCTTAGGATGTCCCCTTTGCAAATGGATAGACCACGTGTATCCTTCGCTAATGGACAACATAGTTTACTTGAAAGTCTTTAATATCACATATACGACCAAGATTGGCCTAGAGTACATAAGATATTGTGTGCATTGACTTTAGTTGAGAATGTACAAGTTGTAATTATTCGGGATAGCTCTAGTTACAAAGTAACCTCTGTTGCAAAAAAATTACATATAAAATAAAAAAAATGAGGAGTTACTTTTTGAACATTGACAATATGTGTGAATGGTAAAGTGGCATAAGGATATGATTTTCTTCTAAGAGTGAATTATCCAATATTCGAGTTTGTGAATACAACCCCCAATTATGGGTTTGGGTAAGTGAGAAAAGAGTTGCGCGAAAATGTAAGAAGTGTAAATAGATTAGCCATGTTCAGGTTGTTGGTTTTGGTAGTGAAAGATATTTTGAGGAAAATAGTTAAACAATTTACTCAACTTCATGCGTCTTGAAGAGATTTGATAGTATTAGTAATATCGTGATAGTGATGTTATACGTGTGACTTTGGCATAAGTATACATAATCCAAGTGCATGGTATATAAGTATGATAGTGAGATTACATGATGCAAAACTTGTTAATGGTGACAGTCCATGAGTGAATGCTAGATTGCGAGAGAAAATAAGACTTAAGTATTTGGTTTAATGCATCAACATAGTAAGAGGTAGAGTATGAAACTCAATAAATAGTGGCATGATTAGCTATTAAAATAAGGTAAGACATACAATATGAAGACTGTCATGCACCGTATTAAACAGAGATAGACAATTCGAAGAATTCAAATACTTGAAAAAAACACACAAATATTATCGAATTCAGTGTACCGTCCTGACAATTGTCATGATATGCATTGTATCTTGTACTGCATGAGTTGGGAAAGTTTGAATATTGACGAAATGATGTGATAACTGAAAAGGTATAATTTTTACCCAAGTGGGGGATCCTACTAATATTGATTATGTTTATCAGACATGTGAGATCACAGTTAGGATAGAGGGATAGTTGCAAATTTGTTATGGTTAAGTGAAAGCATGGATTGACTGGTTCCATTATATTTAGTACTCCTAATGTTCTATACGTGGTGACGATTCTAGTGAGGAGACTATGTTTGTGGATGGAGTATATAGAAGTTGTGTGATATTGGTTCAGGGAGGGGACAGTGTAGTTGCTCTACTAGTGTTGCCGATCTCTGACTTTAACGTTGTTATGTGAATGGGCAGATTTGTGTTGTGCTATGTGGTGCATAATTTTCAAATAGATGATATTAGATTTGTTGGTTCTTATGGTTTTAGAATAACGTTTAAGCGTATTCCCGATTGTCATGAGCGAGCAAGTACCTTATACGAAGGTTTTACAAGAGATGAATAGAAAGTGTTCAATATATCTAGCTATGACTTAAGACACTAGTAGAGATTCTGACTCTTGGGATACTGGTAGTTGTTAAGAAGTTTCCAAATGAGTTACACGAGACGTATGTGGTGTAAATATGAAAAGACAATATGAGCGTAACGAGGAAGTTTTCATATCTCTATTTTTTAGGGTATAGCTCGCTTAACATTCGAGGACGAATGTTCTTTTTAGTGGAGGAGAATGTAATAACTTGAATTATTTTTATATACTTATTAATTGTGAGACTAAAGAAATTAATTTTTTTATTTATAGCTATTGGGTCAAATATTAACCTAGGGAAAAAAAGTTGTTATATATAATATATAAGGTAATGTATTAATTAAATGACTAGCGGATTAATTACACATGACAAATTGAGAATTAGAAATAAATAATTTTAGATATTATTTAAAAGATTAATATGTGGGCTAAGCCCACCTATATTTTTATATCTCGTGTGAGAGTGTCTGGGTGTTAAATACATATATTAGGGCTTATACCTGAGAAGAAAAAGAATCAACGGAAGAAACTCCTTGGAATTGATGGCGGTTGAGTATAGCACTGTAAGTATACGATCAAGTATTGGAATTTCATTGAATACCTCTTTGCAGTAACTCCTTCCTTTGTTTTGAAAGAAGAATAAAGTGAACATTAAATAACTAGTGTTGTTGTAATGAATAAAAATTAATATTATGTGTGTAATGATTATACAATGATTGATTAGCAGATTATATAGAAATATAGGAAATTTCAAAAATAAGATAATCTGATCCCTTTCTTTCTCATCTTTAACCTAGAACTAGAATACATAATAATCATAATGATTGGGTAATCATGAGATGTGAAATTGTACAATAAAGCAGTAGTCAAATTGGTTAGCACGAATAATCAATGTTCTGCAACTGTTAAGTTATATTTGAGACAACTGTCTCGACGTCCACTACTAAAAATACAACGTTTGTTATTGATTTGGGTACATAATCCGATTAATTGGATTGAGGGTTGACTTTGATTTGGATTTGTTCTAAAATATAGAAAGTATTTATCTAGACTAATTAGGACGTGTTATTCAACATATTGAATACATTGAGGCCATGGGAGGACGTTTGTTTGGTGTTCTAGACGTTGCAAAGTTGGGGAACTTCTCGTTAGCGAGGTAAGTGAAACTTTAAGTTTTGATGCTTGCTTTTCCAAAACCCGTTTTTAAAATATGTTTTGTCTGCCTGGTCCATGTGTTGGGACAAGTGTGCGCTTGGCAGCATCGGTGGTCGTTGACCAGCCGCAAATATATATTATTTTGTACAAAGCTAAAGCATTTAATAAGTGATTTGTGATGTGGTGTAGCGTAGCCTCGTGCTATGGCGTTGGGGCGTTAGAAATTATTTCTTCGCTGCCGTAATATATTTGGGGCATTGGTTTGCCGCCGCTATATATTTGGGGTGTTGTGTATGCCGCCATGATAGATTTGGGGCATTGTGTACGCCGCC